GTGCCATGATAGACCCAGTCATGGGTGGGGAATGTGCATGGCCACGTGTTCTAGAAGTCTTGGACCTGTGTGGAAACCCTTGCAATGGAGTGGGACAGATTCACAGGACAGGCAATATTTAAAGGACAGAGTTTTAATATAATAATATGATACCGTAGAAGAAATACAAGTCATGGCTTGAAGCAGTGATGGAGCACCTGGTGAGAAGGTGGGACCAACCCAGGGGAGCTCAGGTGCATGCAATACAGTTGAGTGCCCAGAAGGGGTGGAGCCAGGATTTACCCCTTCCCAGACCTCATTTAAGGGTTGGCAGTAGAGGTGAGGGCTCCTCCTAGGAGATCCCTGTATACTTCAGCCTTCTGGAGGTAAGCAGCTTCTTTATTTTTGTGCATGCTACTGTTGTATTTGAGCAGATCCTCACTCGCTGCATCCTAGGGCCTTGCTGTTATTGCTGTGGTTTCCATTGTATTACAGATAGAGGTCCTAGCTATCCAGTTTACTCCCCCTTTTCCTATTAGATTTTTATTTAGCAGGGAAATGCATATGTTGGTAGACAACATTAGGCTGTGTTTTCTTTAATCGAAAAAGGTGGTAGGAAAAATCATTCTGATAAAGATATGTAGTTGTATACTCAAGGAGTGACTCATCTGTGATATTCACTTTTCTGGACAGCTAGACTAGGTTCAGTAGGTGCTAAAAGAAAAAGATAGTAGTAAAAACTAGGAATCTGGGAATTATCTCTGCCTGGAAAATCTAGTGATGACTTGTGCTTTCTGCTTTGCTCTTTGTGCATGTTATTTGGAAGCAATTATCAGAGTGAATTTAATTAAATGCCCTAAATGGTGACAGAGTGGTTTTCATGACTGGTGCACTTACACAAGTTGTTTTGTATTCATGTGTTGTTTGCTATTGTGTGGGTCTGCGGCCCACTGTGCTGTGAGTTATCTACAACAACTAGGAGAAAAAAGAAAAGTGAAATGTGAGCTTCAGCACATTGCTTGGAAGTATTTCATCAGCATCAGTAGGACTAAAACCTACAACGTTCTCTTAAGCCTGGGACTGAAAAGGCAGAGGGCTCAGCAGTGATTTTGAGGGTGGTTGAGGATGTATACAAAATGGCTTCATCCTCTCTCCTGAGCCATTGATGCTACTTCCTACTTCGTTTAGGAGGGACCCATAAGGATCATTGATTCTAGCTTCTGGAAATGCATCTGCAGAATTGACATTTAGAGGTCAGCACCTCTGGATGAGGTAGTTCCTCTCTGATCCTTGATATGACTGACATCTGGAACAGATTGTCTGGAGATGGGGTGGATGGCCCATCTTTGGAGATATCCACAGCCAGGCTGGATGAAGCTGTGAGCAACCTGATCTGACTGTGGGTGTCTCCGTTCAGGAGGGTTGGACTATGTGGCCTTTAAATGTCCCTTGCAACTCTAAGGACTCTTTGAAACAGCAGTTGGATTGTTTTGTTCATTTTGGTTTGTGTTTGTTAGCTAATCGAGAGAGATGGCTGCTTTTACTTCATGTTTCACATCATTTCTCAACTTTTACTCAGGATGTATCACTCTGACCTGAAAGAGCCCTCTTCTGGAGAAATCTGGGTGGTTTGGAACAGATGCAGAGATATGACAGAGTTCACTTAGAACATAATCAACAGATAATAATAGGGTACTCAGAGAAATTGCAGCGAATGACAAGTATCATCAGCCTTTTCAAAACAGCAGAATCAGACATTTTTAACTCCGCATGCACAACGGTGTCAGGAGAAGCAGGAAATAGCTAATCTTTAATTCTTATGTTCTAGCTTTAAAAAGATATTGTAAAATTGCAAAGGGAGATGCATTATCATAGGAGAATCACTGAGCACTGTGTGTTCTCATTAGCAAACAGCAGGATTTTCTGTGCTGACCATGAACATCGTGGAAACCAGCACAAAATGATGAATGATTCTGTAAGAGGAATCTAGGTTGAAGGCACAGCACTATGAGTGATCCCTGAGGTTTGCCTGAGAAATGCCTCCTGAGAGCAGCGAGCTGCTTTCCAGCCCAGTTACGTATCGATTGGGAAGTATTTTATTATTTCATTTTTACACATCCTGTATCTTGGTTAGACCCTCCTGTTTCTCGTGTGCACTTAAAATTAGAGAAAATAATTTTGAACAGAAAAATCATCCATTATGTCTGCAAGTGTACAAAATCAGAAGCAGCAATGGGCTTGCAGGGGATGTGAATAAAGCTGGGTTGTGATGGAGTGTTCCAGCTGGGAGCCTGCCATTTACAGTTGCCTCAGAAGCACTTTTCTAGTTGCTAAGTAAACTGCTTTCCTTAAAGGAAGCAGAAGAAGAAAAATAATGAGAGCTAATACATACGGGTTGTTCAGATGATGTGGAAATGGTGGTGAGAATTACCTGAAACATGCTGGCTAGGAGATAAGCTTGTGAACTTTGTAAACAGCGTACAAATAGGGAGTGTTATTACAGTTTAGCAAAGTTCTCACTCTTGTTTCTTTCAAACCTGCTGGGCTAATTAAGTGTCTCCATTACCTGGGGCACTTATGGACTTCTCTCCCAGCCTGTACCCCTTTTCAGATCCCCATTTGCAGTCCTTCGCAGCTCCTGCAGTTACTTTCAGGCTGATGTTTGATTCTGGGTGTCTGTTCTCCCAGTCTGTTTCAGTACAGAAAACATCTTGGCATGGTGGAGATTAAAGCACAGGATTGATTAGAGAGGAGAGCTTTGAATCCTTACAGTACAATCTTTCTCTTACATCTGACACTAGTGCACACTGGTAACATTCATTCCACAACCCCTATCTCCACAAAATACATAAATGGTCAATTTAAATGCAAATGTACCGTCATTTTCTGCCTGACCTTCAAGACATTTTATATGTTTGTGTCCTAATTTGGCCTTTTTAAACAAGACTTGGTGTCCCTGTTTCTTCTATAAGCATGTTCCTGCTCTACCAGAGATAAATACCTGCTTGTGGTTACGTTATGTCCCTTTTAATGAAGGTTGGAAGTTCTTGCTGACTTCCATTTTTGAGCACCATAATTGAAACATGGTAAATGACTGCAGTGCTCAAGAAGGAAATGGGAAACCCAGCCTTCAACATTTGGCACAAATACCTGCAGGATGTAAGGTATTTACCTTACTAGGTAGTAAGGTTCCTCCTCAGTTCCAGTTCCTCCTACCAGTTCCTCCTCACAGTAGGTCTTATCTGTAGAATATATCCCTGGCTCTGCTCTCACAAACACCCATCAGAAATGTTATCTTTCACTTTCTGCAAGAATCTCCCATCCTGGCCCTGAAGCACTTTTGGGCTACATGCAACTGATAATTTTGAGAGCAGTCTTGGGGTAGATATCTTGCTTTCCTAAAGACCTCAGGCTGGGAAACCCAAAGCACAGACAGGAGCCACATTTTCTACATCACTTCCTTAAGGGGCTGAATGTGAATTCCAGTTGTCATGGAAAATCTTCATGGATGAAACTCCAAGCCTTAGGAGGTAAACTGGAGGCTGGTGATTTCCCAGTTTTGTACACCCGTAAAGTGGATGCTTTGTCAACAAACAGTTGTGTGTTTTAAAAGGCAGTGCATCAATGTTGTGTTACCTGGACCTGACCTGGGAAACAGCAGACTTCAACCCATGTGACAGTATAATAACCAAGGTGTGTCTGTGAGAGGGCATCAGATGAGCCTCAAAAGCCATAGCAAAATTATTAAACCACTTTATTAAAGAAAATATTCATTGTCAGGAGCAACTTGGCTCTGAAGGGCAAAACACCCCTACCACTTCCAAAGGAATCTGGCAACCTCTAAGTGTAACACCATCTTTCAATCAGTGCTGTGCTGTCTAATTAACTAATGTTTGCACTTTTGTTTGAGATCATAGCTTTACAAGGAAGGCTAATATGTTGCTATGTTTAAATGGTAGAATTAATAATTTAGAAAATATGAGAGTACAAAGTCAGGTTACTCTTATCATATCATCAAAGTCAGGTTTAACTACCTTCTTTTTTAGCTTCTTGCTTAATTAGTTAAGCTGCTGAATTTAATTAACTCATCAAACTTAATTTGAAAAGATCTCTCAAATCAGTAGGAGCTTATCTTATGCTTATTATTTCTATTTGGTTAATGAAATCTTTAATATCACCATTTTGTTAGGATATTAATGGTAGTATTAATCGTGTTCTAATTTACTTCATTTACTCAGATGGTGGCATTTTCTTCATTTAAAGTGCCAGCATGTGAAAATCAATCACAGTTTAAGGCAGTGAAATTGCTCTTCTAGCCAGCTCTCAAGTCAGCTACGTATTATCTCTTTTCCATAAATGTAAATTGAGTTTGCAAGGTGAAGTTACTTCATGGAAGATCATGTTGGGTTTCTGAAGTCCTACATCTTAGAGAAATGTTATGAGGAAATTATCCTCTGGATGCTCTTTTGGAACAGCTTAACCATGTTGCTAGGTAGTATATTTGAAACTAAAACTGGTATTACAACTATCTAATTCATTTGAGCACATCTGGGTGTGATGCTGCAGCTTCATGATAGTCTGCCACTCCTTTATATTTATTAAAGAGTTTATTGCAAAAGGCATAAATGGTAAAATTTGATGTAAATTCAAACCCATTTGTTTGGGTATCTTTTCATTCCCCTAGAAGATATGCACAGAGGAGAGGCCATGCGATTGCTTAAATCAGGATTTCTATGCAGGCTATTCACCCATTCTGCAGAAAGTTTTATTGTGACTTAGGATATGCTGCTGGTAGAAACTTTGCTAATTAGTTGAGAAAGGAGTTCATATAGATTTGTACAAACCTAGTTCTATGCTGGCTGAAACCAAATGCTTCACTGCTGCTATTCCAGCCAGTATGATTTGCAGATGCATCCTTGCTCACAGTTGCTCCCTCAGGATGTTTTATTGTTATAGCTTCAGTCTGAGGCCAGCTCTCAAATGCACGGTTAAATAGCTTGTGTCTCTCTGTTTTTCCTTAGAACGACTACAGGAAGCTATCTATGCAATGCAAGGACTTTGTAGTGGGGGTTCTGGACCTGTGCAGAGACACTGAAGAAGTAGAAGCAATTCTGAATGGAGATGTGAACATACATCTATGCCCTGAGCATCACCGGCCAAGTCTGAGCAGAATTAAACTGGCGATTAAGTATGAGGTCAAAAAGGTAAGCTGCTTGTTTGGGTGGATACATCTCTGCATATCAATTAGATACTCACCTGGAAACTCAGTGAGAGATTTTGGTGAGACCAAGGCTGTTCTTTGAGTCCTAGCACTCTGTGGAAATGTTCATTGAATGGAGCACTTGATTCTGGCAAATTCTGGTCTGGGTGGTCCTGATTAATTTCTCCTACAATATGCATTGATAGAAACTGGGCTCCTGCAACGGGTTTGGAAGAGCATTCCAAATTTTCAAGCTAACATCTGCTCTCTTTCCTCTTGCACACCCATCAGATGCTTCAGTTGTCCTCTTGACTGTGTCACTCTGCTGTCAGAGACGGTCTTTTCCTGTTATGAAAGCCATTAATTGAAGAGAATCTTAGAGCTCTTATTTGAAATGAATTGCTTTTGTGTAGGAGCACATGGTTTGGCGCTGAGTACAGTTTCCTAGTATGCTGTATATAGCATTTGAGCCCAAGGTTAGTAAGGGTGCCTTTCCACAAGCTGGGTCAAGTTCAGCTAGCGAAGCTGTTGCTTTGGTAACAAGGGACCAAATTTGTTCTGATGATCTTTTAGAAAATGAACCCAAATGCAAGGTACTCAGCTCATCACCAAGGAGAAGCCCCACTCACCCGCAGACAGAGAGCTATTGCAGAGCTGGTCAGAACCTCGAGTTCTTTCAATATGTGAAGTTTTCTGTGCTATTTTCCTCCTTTATTCTTCTGAGCACTTGTCATCTTCTAGATACCAAAGCCATTACACAGAGCTGAATTGCTGCTGGTAATTGTGCTGCTTTGAGCGTGTTTGTCCTGGCTTAGACTGCCTCAAGGGAGTATTTCCTCAGTTTCTTATATTTTTATAACAGTTGGTTATTTTATGATGTCTGACCGCTAATTTAAGGCATCTGTGGTCTGCCATATACAGTTAGTTGTTTTGTTTTATAAATAACTTCATATGCTTGAGAAAGCTAAGCATCCTTTGTGGATCACAACCACTCCTTGCCTACAGATAATAACTGTTAATTACAGAATATGAACATTACTCATTGTTGACTCAGTTTAGCACATCTCAGAGCATCCTTTTCATCAGTGTTTGTGTGTAAGGTGAGCATTTAACTGCTAGCTGGAAAGTGAGATAGCTTCATTTGTGGGAGGCAGAGATGTGTTCAGATAAATGGCTTTGGTTATTGGCAGTGGCTTGTGATAATAAGCTGGTATTTATTGCACATGCTGAACAGAGATTGTGTTAGAGTAGCGTAGTAATGATTTCCTTAAGAGAAAATAGGTTTCAGGTACAAATTTAGGCTAGACATTTAGGCTCATGTATATGAAACCTGTGCTCCAAAACCTATTCTCATTGTAAAAAAAATTATATAATAGAAAGGGATGTGATGAAGAGCGAGTTGCCATAAGTATCTGATAAATTCTTGAACTGATTCTGTAAATTCCAGGTCACATTTGCAAAGTTAATGCAATGAAGAGACTACATCTGTGCCTGCTGCCCCTATTACTAAAATCCACCTACCTCTACCATTAGCATCAGCACTCCAATGGTCAGTTCTGCTTCCAGCTCCACAAGCTCCAAATGAGCCAGAGAAATTAACATATTTAAACTGGGGGGGGACAACTGGAATATTTTATTTGTTCCTTCTTGTGAACAGCAAGAAGAACCTTAGACAAGGCACCCTCAAGAACTTCACAACAGACTGGAGAAAAGCAAACGTTCAATACTGTAGGCTTATTCATTAAGCTAATATCCAAACTAAGTATTTGTATCCAAAGTTTCAAGAAATAACTTATTTTTCTTTAAATTTATCTCTACCTTTAGCTTCTACATCCACACTTTCTTATTAGGACTCTAAATGTCTATGGCAAGCTTCAGTTGATGAAGGTTTGCAGGGAACAACTTATACTGAAAATTATTTAATATCAATGGTTTTATTGCACAGCTGCTGATGCAATTCCCATTTAATCCCAATTTGTACCCATATGAGAGATTTAGGGATGCAATTAAGGTGAAGTTTGCTGTTTAAGTTATTAGTGCTAATTTTTTGTCCTGTCCCAGTATCTTAATTAAACAATATCCTTAATTTGGTAGTCATGCCCCTGAATGAGTGACAGTTGCTGGAGGTACAGGCTGCACTTCCCTGCACACAGAGCAACAGAGCAGTGAATTCAGTCATCAAACTCACACTTACTTTTAGCCAGATATATACTATTTCTCACACTTCTTTTATTTTAAGTTCAAATCTCTGCTTGGAAAATCCCTCTATACAAGGGCAGCTTGGTCTTGAACTGGAAGGGAGGCCAGAGCTGTTCACTCATCACACTGAAGGTACCCTGAAAGAGGGACTGAAGCCTTCTTGCATCATCTACGCAGGAACCTGCAGCTGGTAACTTCAGCAGATTTTGTTCTGAATGATCTTCCTCTGCACTGATGTATTGATCAGAATCACACAGAATCACAGAATCACAGAATCACCCGGGTTGGAAGGGACCTCAAGGATCATGTAGTTCCAACCCCCCTGCCTAGCAGGGCCACCACTCTTCTTATTTACAAAACCTCAGATGAAATAGAAACTCATTCAAGGAAAACACCAGAGGTTTCAGACTTCAGAGCCTTATCTGTCTCTTTGTACTCTTATTTCTATTTTTTTCCTGAAAAAGCTCTTAATGTATGTAAGACACTGCCAAGAAAGCAAGCTTAGGTCTCAGTAACATAATTGAGGTATTTTATATACAGGGGTAGTGAAGAATTAAGACATTTTGCTTGCAGGCATTTCACAGCAAGGAAAAAACTAAAATTGCAGTCATTTATAAAGCATCCTCTAAGAACTGCATTACAACTTTACCTGAAAGAACTAAACTATCACTTTGTACCCAGAAATTCTTGGAAAACTACACTCAAATACCCTCTGTTCAAGTTCACTGGGGATATTGCTCCCTTCAAATTAAGTACCTTAATGATTCGTGATTCCTTGAAAAATTATTACAGCGACTGTTACAATAGGAACAGTTTGTCAAGAGCGAAGTAAACGGTTTTCAAGTGTTTAAGCATTTATAAAGCCCTGGGTGCTTGTCAAGAGAAGGGCTTCTAGCATATGGCCTGGAATTGTTGCAAGCTTATTTTTGTTGCCTCCTGGTATAACCTAGCTGGGCTTTGCATGTGAACCCCAGTAAAGGTCTGGGTTCTTACTGCTCCATCAAAGGGAGGAGGAAGGCTGGGAGCAGTGGAGCCCTGTCGTGGCACAGCAGAGGGCTGGCAGTCTAAATCGAAGTGCTCTTCCCAGTGAAATAAAATAGCTGATCCCAATGACTGTACCAGTTTCTCTTCTGTGTTCTCTCACAAGGGCTCTGTCAGAACCAGGTTACTTATCCCCAGGCTTGGTGTACTCCAGAAGAGCTTTGATATTTTAAAAGTTCATCTCCCCTGAAGCGGTGAGGCATTCTGTATCTCTGTAGCTGATTAGTAGCATGCTTACAAGGTATAAGGGTTAACTTCACTTTCTTGGGTGGGAAACTGCATGAGAGAGTATTTTCTTTAAACAGTTGAACAATCCCTATCAGAAATATAAACATGGTAGAGTTTTTCCCTATGTTTGACTTCAGTTCATCCAGGGTGTCATTTTCACTTGTGAGGTATAGGAACAGAAGCTGGGGCAGCTCTCCTTTGAATTCTTCCCTCAGACCTCCAGCCCTGAGGAAATGCAGCTTTTTTTGGTGTTCCACAACAAGAGCATTTAGTAGTGTGTATCACCTTTAGAGAACTCTTCCTATTTTCTGTTCTCATTTTTCTCCATGCTGCTCTGCCCTTTTTTATAACCCTTTAATATTGTCAGGAGAGTTGCATTTTTACACTTACCTTTAGATGTAAAGCTGTTGCTTCTCTGTAAGAAGTGACATTCGTTCCCTTCTTTCTCAATGTCAAAAATCATTGCGACTGTATTCTTTTAATTGCAAACCTTGAATGCCCCTCTCTGTTTTCTCAGTTAGCAGCTCATTTCATAACTTACAAAGCCAGAGCACCCCTCTCTTTCACGAGTTTTAATTAGATTAACAGTAAGACACACAAACTGAGTTTTAAAAAAAAATTAATAAGAGTTAAACAGAACACCAGATGGCTGTGTAAATCCTATTTAATGGAGAACTGGAACAGGAACTTTTCTCATAAATGTATTATTAATAATTAACATATGGAGGATGCTCCAAGCAGAATACTCGTGGCTATATTAGATTATAACTTTTTTCCTGCTTTGCTCACAGCTCTTGTCAACTGCTGCAGCAACCTCAGTTTCCCATTCATTTGCTATGAGGATGCAGTTTTGCCCTGTGCTGTGTCTTGTATGCCAGCTGCAGTCCAGGGAGCTCCTTGCTATTGCATGGGACCCCAGTGGCTGCATCCGTGAAGCAGGCAAAAGAATCAGCCCTTGCTGTCAAAGTCATGGGAAATCTTCCTACTGGCTCTTTCACCCTCTTTGAAACAGGGTGAAGGTTTGGAATTTCCCATGGGATAAATCCTAAAGTTCTCTATCCCTGTGCTCATAGTGTGCACAGATAATGGTTTAAGCAGGGCAAGGCTGTGTTTTACCATCTGAGCGTGAGGTCCAGGCAGGAGAACTTCTCATGAAAAAGGTTTTCAGGAAGTTGGCTTTTTGCTTTGCTTTTGTTTAACTCCGGTCATTTTTTTTCAACTGCTGAATTTCAGGAATAGCTAATTGAAGTCATTCGCTGATGGTTGGGGCCATAGCGGGGGCATGAGAAGTGTCTCTTGTCTCCATCACCAGAGCCAGCTGAAACTGTAAGAAGGAGATTTTGGTTTTATGTGACAGTAGAAATACCCTGGTCATCCTGGACTCTTACTTTCATCCATGTAATTTTCCCTGTACTTTTACTTGCGTTTTACAGATTTTTAAGTGATAGGGAAGGAGTTACTTTCCTTCCTTACGGAAACAATTTTATGTCTCTATTTCATTAGCAAGGTTCCTTCCTCCCACTAAATCTGTGGCTC